CCCCCACTGGGGATCGAGCCCACAACCCAGGCATGTGCCCTTGACCGTAATCGAACCTCGGACCTTTCAGTTTGCAGGCCGACATTCTATCCACTGAGCCAAACCAGCTAGGGTGGAAGTCTGCATTTTAAAGGGTGTTCCAGGGGGTTCTGATTCAGCCACAGGTTGTGACTTGTGTGCATAGCTATCACAATAAGAGCTTTTCAAAGGAAGCTCACAGATTTCCAGTCTGGGGTGGCCCCAGGCAAGTGTGCCCCATCTCCCCTGGGATTTCTGATGCGGTCAGGAAGGCTCAGAAATGTGGGAGAGGCTGGCACAAATGAGGCCAGCACACAGGTCTCCAGCATCCACTTCTCTCCTCCAGGTTCAACCAGTGCTATGGGGTGCTGGGGGTGCTGGACCATCTCCACGGGACAGACACCGTGTTCAAGCAGACCAAGGCCTACGAGAGACACATCCTCCTGTTAGGCTTCACCCCACTCTCTGAGAGCATCCCCGACCCCCCAAAGATGGAGTGAGAGAGGGCCTGAGTGCCATCCTGGCTGTCCCCTCAGCAGCGGACTGCTAAGGTGGCCTGAGGCCTCCTGACCGCACCTGGGAACTTACTTCTTCAGCCCGGCACTAAAGATAGCACGGCGAGGGCGGGGGGCAGGCTGGCTTCCAGGAAATGCAGGGCCAAGGCTCCCCTGACTGCCCCTTTTGTCCCTCCAGGGGACCAGGAGTTAGCTTAAGGAAGAGGAAGAAACAGCTCCCCACAATGATCAGTCCCTACGGTCCTCTGCTGTGAAAGGAAAGAGGGGCCTGGATGACTGCATAGGCAAGATGTAGCTAATGACAGGTGGCAGCCACACCGGAGGCTGCGTGGCTCCAGAGAGCCCCTTCTGCTGCCAGGGCTGGGGGGGCCAGAAGAGAGCACTTTCCCCCTTTTCTGTCCCCCAAACTTCTCTCATACCCTACTCAGGCCAGAGCCAGACAGCCTGGCAATAGTGGTAGGGGTCAAGTCCCCCTTGTCCCTCCCAAACAGAGTCAGTGACAAAGGCCCCCTTTACCTCTGACCCATTGCAAACCAACATCAGCCCTCTCTGCAAACAAAAATAACATCGAAGCTCCTCCCTGATTACAGCTGACACCACGGGTGCAGACCAAACGCCAGTACCTTCAGCCAAACCTGGAAACCAAAGGCCAAACCCTGTGGACCTGCTAAACTGGGGGCCCTTTAATCCAGAGGGAAGGGTCAAAATTTGGGGACACTTGACTGAAGCGCCTAATTAGACTCTCTGAAGCAGGGCCAGAGGCTAGAACCCTCTTTCTCCAATGAGAAGGCATGAAAAACATGGCTGAACAAAGGGCAAAATCCTCATTTCCCCCCCAAATGATTACTCAGTTGTTTTAGCAGTGATGCCTTTTCAAATGCAATCTTACCAGGAAGCTTGTCTGAAACAAAAACACAGAGCTGCTGGGGTGGGAGCAATCCCCACCCTGCCTGTCCTTAGCAGCCGTGGTCTTGCCAGGGCCCCGGGGGCTCCCAAGAACAATCTGACCACTCTGATTCGAGAGGCCGCCATCATCACTTACCAAATGCTTCCACATAATTGGGTCTATTCCTGAACTTTCAGTTCTCATATGTCAAGATAACCACCCACAGTAGCTTTATAAAGTATTTAAACATCTGATAAGGGCAAGTCTCCAGGCAGAACCATCAGCACTAGGAATCCAGAGGACCTACCCAGTGGGCCGACTGGGCACTTCCCAGGTAGAGTCTTCCCTGGCCTGGCAAAGCCCCACCCACTCACCCGCCTCAGGAGTTGGTGCACCTGGCAGGTGACCTATATCCTTAGCTAAGTCCTCACAGCCACTAGCCTGCACCCACAACCTGGGACTTATAAACGTTCGGACAATAGCCCACCTCCAATATCCTTAAAAAGGGTAGGAAATGAGGAACATGGAGAAAGAGGAAGAGTGGAAACATTTTTTCCCTTTAAGACCTTGAGATTCGGAAGTTCCGGCGGGGCACCTGGGGGGTAAGAGGCGGGGCACCTTTCACAGCTTTTGGCAGGCAAGTGGGTGGGCCCTGGCAGAGGGGGCCAGCCCTGTCCTCTTCTGCATAAAACCTTTTAAAGGGCCCTGAGGTTGGTAAACGAGTAAGGCTCAAGCAAAGGCTGAGGTCTCAGATTTGCAGCAGAAAATGTGTGAGAGGAGGAAGCATGGAAATAAACTGGTCTCCTTTTAACTCCATTAGCCACTGCAGTTTTTCTCGCCACTGCACAACTCACAATCACATGGCTTCTCGGAGCTACGGGCCCCTTTCGCAAGCATTCCCAACAGGTGTGGGAGTGAGGCTGCATTAACCGTCTTCCTGTCCAAACCAGTCTGCACAAGCCCTGGCCACTATCTCCTGCTCCCTGCCCACCTGCTGGCTGGTGGAATTCTCTGGAAAACCAGGCACGGGACACAGTTGCCAGATGAATGAGTAAATAAAGCCAGAACTTATTTTTAGTTTTGTGACTATACATCTAGGACCGACTGGCATTCAGAATACTACTGCCCGAGACTGGCCTCACGGGTTGGGGAAAAGCCACCAATAGCCCCCCCGAGGCCAGTCCCCGATGCGGGTGGGGGCTCCTCCCTAGCATCGATCCTGATCCTCAGGCTCACTTGGACTCCCTAAGGCCAGTGGTGAACTTGACACCCCAGCAGGTAAGTCTGTTCAGTGAGGGGCAGTGCCAACCCTCCTGTGAGAAATCAGCACCCCTCTCCTTCCTGGCCCTCTCTTCCCTCAGGGCCAGGCCACAGCAGGTGCAGGAAACCCTGGCTGTTGGACTGGTCTGTTCTATGGCACTGGTGTAGCCCCCACTTCATAAGACACAGGGCGAATTCAAGACTGGCAGCTCTCATGCTGCCTTAGAAGCTAAGGGACCCCTGTCCCAGGCAGGCTCCCCAGAAGCCCAGGCAGGGTTCTCCCCTCACCAGCTCCACCCCTCACAACCATCAGTTGTATCCCAGATGGGAGACCAGCCAGTATTGTGCCTTTTCAAGTTTTTATTTTTATACATTTTTTTTGTATTAAAAAGAAAAGCATAATTACCACAAATTACAAAGGACTAAAGCAGACTAGAATAATGAATCACTTCAGCCTGGAAAGCAGATACTCTCAATAATATTAATGTTATAATACAAGCTCATTCAAGTATTTTACATTGTTTGTCCTTTTAAGTGATATCCTAGCACATGGTAAAGATAATGTACTATGAGCATAAGGTGGAACCTTCTCCGCAAAGCCAGGTGACATGTTTTCCTCTCCAGTGAGAAATGGGCTGTAAGTTCCTATCTTCTCTGCCGCTGCCGTCAACATGGCTGAAGGAGAGGGTGAGGCTGGGGCAAGTCCAGGGACCCTCCACACAGGAGGCACTATGGGGTCCCACTCAGGGGGGTGCCAGATGATCCAGACTGCTCTACCCAGGCTTTTGGCAAAATCCCCAACCCTAGTCGCCTTCCTTGCCCCTCTCCCCACTTCTAGGGCCTTCTGAGCAGCTTACTTTCTTTTCTAAAATCAATCACCAGGAAAGGGGGAAGGGAAGCTACAAATGAACAAAACAGAACACAACTTTGACATGGGGCTCAGCATCTCGATCTGAGCCCCAGGGTCCAGGCTGGGGCTCGGGCCGGCAGCCCCTCTCTGCTGGTAGTGCACCTGTTCCCAGGTTCAGGAGAGGGTGAGAAACCTGCCCCGAGCAGGGCTGACACACAAAGGGTGTGTTGGCATGGACCAATCCTGGAAGGATACAGGATGAACAGAAGGATCTGGGCAGGCTATTTTGTGTCTCAGATCTTGGATCCCCATGAGAGGATGGTGGGTGTGAAGTGGCAAGCCCTGATGGCCCCTGCCACTCCTGGCATGCTTGTCACAGATACATCGGTCCTAAATTCAAGTGTCTTCAGAAAGTGAAGATGTAAACTACTCTTTGCAACATCAACTCCTAACATGTTACAAAAAAAGAAAAAAAATTAAAAGAAAGTAAAAAGAAAGAAAAAAAGTCTCCTTTCTCCCCATCCTCAGCCTATGTTGAGATGAAGTCCTCACCTCAAAGGGGCTTCCTCTCTCTGGGGTGTCTGTGGGGAGGGATCAGGGAGAAGATGGCAGCCAGCCCCTGGCCTGGGAATAAACTCTGATCAGAACAGCCTGTCCCCACACCCCCAAGGCTTCCTTGTGCCCCAAACCCAGCAGAGGACAAACACTGAGGTTTCTGTGGTGCTGGATACAGTACAGGGCTGCACAACCTGAAGCAAAGGGGAGATACAGCAAAGGAGGCCGGGGTGCAGGAGTCCAGTGTCTGGTACAACACAGGGTGGGCACCAGACAGGGCAGGGAAAGGCTGCAGATCCCGCCGTCAGAGCGGAGATCAGACACTCATCCGTGGCTTTTGAGACAACCGGGTCACAGGAACTGAGATGGGTTTCCCAACATACTAACCATTGGGAGGGCAGAGATGAGGGGGCAGGCCAAAAGCAACGACGTGCCCAAGATAGAGGCAAGCCCTGGGGTACTGTCCCCTACTCCTAACCTTTGGGCCCCACAGAAGGAGTTGAAAAAGAGGGCCAAGGAAGTGTCAGCAACTGAGCAACATGACCACAAACTTTTCAGTGCTGCCTGGTCCCCACTGGGGGTGGATGCATTGTCTTCCCACACCCAACACAGCCCAGTCCATGTGGGTCAGTCCTTCATCACCTCCACCCCCCAAGCTCCAAATGCCTGTAGACTCCAGCCATTCCATTGTTTCACAGCCCAACCCAAGCAGTCAGTGGCTGGAGAAGTCAGGTATACTCTATGTCCACATATACCTTCCTGCCATGGGGCTTCTCCAACTGGCAGGGTTCTCCCCAGCCCTCAACTCCTCGTCCCTCGTTCCCAGGCAGGGTCAATTGGAGGCTGGGCAGAGATGGCTTGCAGAGGGGAATGCAAGATGGGGAGAACCCACCAGACCCAAGGGAGGAGAACGGCATTTTTCTCCACCTTTTACGAGACAAAGCCTCCTTGAGTCTCAAAGATCTTTCAGGGCAACTTAAGAAACACTTCCAAGCCTCAGCTGCCAGGTGTTCACCTTTCCCCTCTGAAGTGGGAAGACGGTCAAGCTGAGGACGTGTGTGTCCCAGATCCAGGCCAACGCTCTTCTCCAACAGTTTGAAGCAAACTTGGCCTTGGGGTTCCAAGGGTAGAATGAAGGGTATCACAGCAGGGACAGGGCCTAGTGTGAGGCAACAGCAAGCAGAGCGAGGACACGACAGTGGCAGCAGTGTAGACACAGGACGTCAGCTTCAAACGATGCAACAGCAGGGATATTCGGGCATGGCTCTCATCCGAGCCAACCCCAACTCTCTTGCCTCCAAAGCAGGAGGCACTGTACATGCAATTCAGTCCAGAGGAAGAGTCTAGTCAATCCAGCCCAGGCACATCCAGAGAAGGTGAGAGCTCTGAGTGGACTCCACCGAGGAAAACAGGCATTTGGGTATTTCAGATTCCCGCTCCACAATAAGGCAACTTTTAAAAAAATATTATTTCAAAGAACAAAACAAAACAAATTCCAAGGGTAGGCGAAAAACATCACTTGCTGTGGATTAGGTGGGGGTTTTCTGATTTTCTTTTTTTGGTCTTTTATGGTCGGTTTTGTCTTTTTTTTTTTTTTTTTTCCTTCTTCCCCAAGGATGATAAGGTCAGAGAAAAATAAAATAAATCATCTTTCAATAGTCTTTTCTGGTATGAGCAGCGTCTCTCTGGGCTGGGGAGTAAGGGGTATGGGAAGAGGGGAGTGGGGAGAGGCCAAAACCTCCCCCACCTCCACTTTTAGATCCTTTGGTTTCCTTCTCCCGGAAGATGGCGGAAGGGCACGGGGCAGTAGGGGGAACATGATGATGGCAAGCCCCAGATGATAAAGGGGCCAGTGCTCATGGGGCCCAGGGGCGCTGCAGAGCCTTCCATGGAACAGTGCTGGGCAATGGGGCCCACAGGGCCTTCTTGTGGGCTGCATAGTTGGCTTGAGGGGGAGCAGGAGGCTGTGGGATGGGGGCTAGGGTTGCGGCCTATCCGCCGTGGGCAGGGCTACAGAGTGATTTTGGTAATCCAAATGAACTATCAATAATTTAAAACTTGATATGTATATGTATGTATATATATATATATATATATATATATATAAAATCTCCCCTGTTCCCTCCCCCCTTAGAAGCTAGGATGTGAAGAAGTCATGGAGAGAGGAGGGGGAAGGGAATGTGTGGAGGCTCCTGCCCAGGGTACCTCTGATAGCCCAAAAGGTGTACACATTGCTACTCAGCACAAAGGCCCATCCTAATGACTAGAGGCCTGTCCCTTCTCTGTCCCCTCTCCTGGGACTGGGTGGACTCTTGCCCATGGACTCTTGCCCATCCCTCCCAGGGCCAAGGGGTTTTCACTTTCCCAAAGTCAGTGTGCTGAGTGCTGGGTCGTCCATTTGGCATCTTCCCGGGTGGGCGGGCCGACAGGTGGGGTGGGGGATTGGCTGATCACGGTAGTGGGCCTGCTGGAAGACTGGGAGGGGCACCGCTTCCTGCCCTCACCGCCACCACCTCCTGCTGCCACTGGGTGTCGCTTGTGGTTGCCTTCTTCACCCATGGGGGGCTGTAACAGAGGAGGGAATCACAGGTCATTAGGAGGCACCATCCATCCCGCCAGGGCTGTATAGGGCACTCCTATTTCCACCTCCAAATGTTATGCAGATAATGAACAGGTTTAACCCTAAAAATGAATTACCAGTTTTACTGAGAATGTCTCCATGCTAGGATGCCAAGCACCATGCTATTTTATGCACTTAGTCATGGGGTCTGCACCACCCTGGATGCAGACATGGGTGCAGATCATTGATACTGTTGAAGAGGAAACTGAAGCACAGAAAAATAATTTGCCCAGGTTCCATAGCTGGTCATCCGTGAAGACAAAATATGGCCTGGACCCATGTACTGCTGAGGCCCAGGCTTTTATCCACAGGAGTTCCTGTTCCGGTTATGGGAAGGGATCACTGCTCAGGAGATGACACATGGAATGAGGCATGCAACAGGCTGAGACGTCTCCACTCAGAAGGCCCAGAGGCTCCTGGGGACTGCCTCGTCCAACACATAGTAAGCACTCAATCAATGGCAATTTTAAAAATAAAATATAAACTATTATTGCTCTTTACTTATATTTGCATTTTTCCTAAAAGGTTTTAATAGAATAAGATAACTGGCATATCCCTACTACATTATTAACAATTTGGAGGAAAAAGTCTTTCACTCATTGCTGGAGTCCCTGAAGCACCTTGCACAGAGACATTCAATTAACTCCAACTACCACTGTCATTGAAAAATCTAGTAGCGATAACCCCGATCCACCACTGGATGTCACTGTTGATTTAGTGCTCCAAGAAGACAGGCGCTCTGGCCCACATGGCTCAGTTAGTTGGAGCACTCTTCCTGCACATTGAAAAGTGGTGGGTTTGATCCCAGTTTGGGAAGGCAACCAATCAATATTTCTCTTTCACATCCATGTTTCTCTCTAAATAAACAAACAGGGGAGCTGGGGTGGAGGCAGAGAAAAAATGGAACATAATTAATAAACTTCTGGGGTTAGAAATGGTCTCCTCCAGAATGAGCAAAACCATTTTTACCTTGGATACCCATCCCAATCAACTAGGACACAGTAACAAGGAGGGTTGTGAGATAAAAGGGGAAGAGCATTATGACAGTTTAGCCATTTCTATCATGGGAAGGGGAGGGAGTAGCAACCACATAGCCCCTTCCAATTAGCCCTCACTGTCCACTTCTCACCCTTGGTTTTACAGAGGAAGACATGAGGCCCAAACTGGGCGGGTTGTATCCCTGGGCCAGAAGCACAACTGGAGCAAGAACCCAGGTTCCCTGACTTCCGTCCAGTGGTCTTTCCAGGACAACCCAGAATGAGAGAGAGACTTGTACTCACATCCACTCGGAAGTCTTCGAGACGTCGGAATTTGCCGAGGTATTCTTGAAGTTTGGGGTCAATGTCCAAATTTTTGGCTTTGGAATATTTCAAGAAGGCCCAGAATTTCTCCAGCCCATAGAGCTGACCTGTGGGGAAAGAGGAGAGAGGTAGAGAGAAGCTGGGTTGGTGTGGTGAGAGGCTCGGGGAGAGTGAAGTGTGATGCGATAGACAGACCCAGGTCAAACTGGGGAGTGAGGGGAAGAAGGCCTAGATAACCAGGGCTCACAGAGCTCCAACTCTGGCTCTCACCGGCTTCATAGTCTTTCACGGTTTCCTCCTGAAAATCCTTGAATATGTCCAGCCGGAACTTCTTTTCCAGGCCGTAACTGTAGTATCGGAAAAGGCACTCCAAACCATATCTATAGGAAAACACAAATCAGTGAAATAGGACTCAGTTTCTTCATCTTCAAATAGGGAAATGAACCCTCATAACAGATGAACTGTGGAAGAGTTTGAACACAATGGATTATCAAGGAAACAGTGAATTCTTGCTAGTCTAAGTGGCTCCAACATTAAATCTTTACAGTCTGCCAGGGGTCAGCAAACTCTGGCCAAATGAACAGCAGATCCCAACTACACCCTTTGTTTACTCCGATTCATTTGTGGAATGTCACTGCCTGCTTTCTTCTGTAACAGCAGAGCTGAGTAGTTGCAGCTGAGATCACGAAGCATCAAATATTTATTGTCTGTCCCCTTACAGGAAAAGCTTGCCAATACCTGGGATACGCTTTCTGCAAAGCTATCTGACCATGTCAATTAGTAGGTCTGTTCATTTATCTGTCTTAGGTATTCCAATTGTAGGAACATGTCAGGGAAATGGCCAAAGATGCAGATTCAGATTTTACAGATATATCAAAACTGTTCATAGCAGAATTATTCAACAAAATCTAAATGTCTAATAATAGAGAAGTGGTTAAGAAAAACATGATAAATCTGTTCAACAGAATAATATAAGCTATTAAAAATTACAATGTAAATATTCACTCATGATACTGACAAATGCTTATGAGATATTATCAAGTGAAAAATACACATTTCAAAGTGTTATATGTAGAATGAACCCATTTTTGTAAACAAATATGTCAATTTTACATCTACATATGCACACAAAGTTAGAAGGACACACACTTAAATATATTAACACTTGTTATCTTTGGGAGTTGAAACTTTTCAAGTGATCTTATCAAGTGAGCTTATTTTCTAAGCTTTCAGGCAAAAACACATAACTTCTGTAAGAAGGCCAAAAAGTCAATTATTTTAACATGGAAAAATGCTCATGCTTATAAATGATAAGAAAGACACAAGAAGGTATTCACAGGATGATCTAAAAGACATGAAATATGGCAGAGCTTTAACACTGGACTGAATATGTTTTCCACCAGATTCTTTAAGCATTTCTGTCCTTCTCAAATTGCTTAGAGAACAAATTTTACTTGGGAAAAAGAGAGAAGAGTCTAAAAAGTTTTTTAAATAGTAAAACATTGAAAACAATGTAAGAATCTATTAGTAGGAGACTGGTTAAATAAATTACAGTACATCCATTCAATGTAACACTATACAAACTATAAAAGGAATAAGAATGTTTTTTATGGATGGATATGGAATGATCTTCAAAATATAGCATTAAGTAGAAAATCAAGGTGCAAGAGCATATATAATAGAGGCCACCTTCTGTGTAAACAAAGGGGGTAGGAGACACTGCATAGGTCCTTGCTTACATGGGCAGAATATTTTCAGAAAGAACCCACAAGATTCTAACAATACTGGTTGACTCTGGGAAAATGAAATAGATGGCAGGAGAAAGTGGTAAGGAGACTTCTCACTATATAATCTTTGAACTCTCTGAATTCTGAACCATGTGAATATACTGCTCATTCAAAATATTTTAAATAAAGAATATGAAGTATATATACAAGAGATCTCCAGGTACAGTTCTGGAAGCAGACCCACCAGGGACCCCTAACCACCTGCCAAGCACCAGCCAGAGCCCCACCCCAAACCCGCTCACCTGTAGCCTTCTTTGGCATCCTCCAGAGACAGCTGCTTGAACTCCTCATACATCTTTTTGTTAAAGTGATCTCGGAGGAAGAAGGACCAAAATCGAAAGAGAGTGTTCATCTCCTGAGACTGGCCAATGCCCAAGCGTTTCCGCTCTGATGGGGGAAAAAGAAGGAAAGATGTGTCAGGACCAGGCTGCAGGTGCTTCAGAGGACAAATGGATCTCCAAGCTTAAGGACCTTGCTCACACTGCCCCTCAGTCTTTCAGGAGATATTTATGGAGCACTAACTACTCTGGGTCAGGCCCTGCTGCTGGACTCTGGTTCTGGGCCTCACTGCTTCTGAACCAGGTCATCCTGGTCTAGCTCTTCATCTCAAAAGGCATTGCGCTCAAGTGTAGTTAGAACAAAGGCGTGAACAAATCATTTGTACATGCCAACAAGTTATATTCTTTGTATTTATTACCAATTATTATTTCAGGAGTCCTACAATATTAACAAGTACAAAGTGGTAACAATAAAAAACAGTACACAACACCAAAGCACAAGCAACTAAAGGAAAAAAATAGATAAAGGTTCTGAATAGACAATTTTCCAAAGAAGATATAAACATGGCCAACATGAAAACTATTCAACACTATTAGCTATCTGGGAAATGCCTATCAAAGCCACAAGGAATCATCACTTTATATCTACCAGGATGGCTATGATAAAGACAGACAATAACAAGTGTTGGGGGGACGTGGAGAAATTGCTGTTAGGAAAATAAAACGGTGCCACCACTTTGAAAACAATCTTGCAGTTCCTCAAAAGGTTAAACACAGAGTTACCATAAGACCCCGCAATTCCACTCTTCCACACAAGACAAATGAAAACCTACATCTACACAAAAACTTGTGTATGAATGTTCAAAGCAACATTTTTCATGATAGACAAAAAGTGGAAACACAAATGCCCATCAATTATGGTTAAACAAAACGTGCTATATCCATATAATGGAATGTTATTTGGCAATGAAAAGGAATGAAGTATCGATACATGCTACACCATAGAGGAACCTTGAAAATACTGTACAATTCCATTATTGCAAAAAATCTAGAGACAAAGAGTAGATTGGTGGTTGTATAAGCTTGGGAGGAGGTAGGGGATGGGAGTGACTGGTAATGGGCAGGGTTTCTTTTTATGGGAATGAAAATGTTCTGGTGATTGCATTGTACATTTTAAATAGGTGAATTGTGTGGTATGTAAATTATATCTCAATAAAGCGGTTATTACACACACACATGCATGCAGAGGAAGAGTGAAGAACCAAGCATTTAGCAGCCATGTTTTACTGAATGAAAAGGGGTCGGATGAGGTAATAATTACAATATTACAATTGGTTTTGAGCACTTTACAGCTAACCTGACAGAAACCTACAGTTAAAAGGTACCTCATTTTTGTTATAAAAAGAAACTCGTGAGAGCACCTAGAGAGTGTCTTTCCTTAGACTATTGTCTAGACTCTCAAGGAAGGTTAGCAAACTTTCTTCTGTGAAGGGTCACAGAGTAAATACTTTAGGCACTGCAAGCCACAAATGGGTGCCGTTCTATCATAAATTCTTCCCCCCCCCACCCGTCCCCCGAACTCCTTAAAAATGTAAAAACTATTCTTAGCTCAAGGGCTATACAGAAATAGGCTGCTGGCTGGATTTGGCCCACACCATCATCAGACAACCTGTTCTCAGGAATATATGCTGCCTCACACATACCTCTGGAGATGGACAGTGGACCACACTGGACAGTGGCCGAGTTGGTAGTCTTACCAGAAATAGGAAAACTCTTGATAGTTTTTATATCAATAGAGGAAGATCAAGGAGCAGGCATGTTCTGAGTACCAGATTCTTTTAGGTTCCTATATTCCAAAACTACCCTGCCTGAGTCTATTTCATTCCTTCTTGCTATAATGTCACCTGCTTCTTGTTTTGAGATCAGAGGAAATAGTCACCTAGTCCAGCGGTTGCCAACCTTTCGGACCTCACGGACCACCGGTTGGTGACCGCTGACCTAGTCCATCAGCACTTATACTCTGGTTCTAAAAAGCAGCCCCAGAGGCTCAGCCCCTTCCCCGTGCTTCTTACCATTAAGGCAGCGCCTACGATACTTGTGGTAGACGTGTTGTGTGAAGCCATTTTCCTTGAGCAGCTCATGGGAAGGATGCTGAAACTTGGGTAGCGACTGAGGGGTGCAGCCATAGCTGCCAACCGTAGGCGTCCCTTCTGAGGGGCTGGAGCTACAGAGGCCACAAAAGAGATAGTGTCATCAGGTTCCCCGGAGCAGCTGGCCATCAGGTTAGCAGGAACCCCTCTAGTTTCTTCCTTCAGCCAAGATCCAGCCTCTCACAGGGCAACAAACTAGGAGGCCCAGGTACTGTGTTAAGGCCCTTGACTTATATAGATAGATGACTTGCTCTTTGTTATCAGCCTTCAAAGTTTTACAAAGAGGTCACTTAGGTTCATAGAGACTGGGACACTCATCCTAGGTCATGAAGCTATTTAAAGGCTGAGATCTGCACAATGCCTAAACCCAAGCCTTTATTTAACCATTTATTTATCCTGAATTAACATTTACCCTTCCCTGAATGAGCTGTAATGGGTTAATCCACCTATATTTTTTGAAAACCATGTTTATTTTTGGTCCTGTACCATCTTTGCAGGAAATAAGAGTACACATGTCAGTAGCTCTCAAACCTTGCTTTGGAACAGAGAATACTGGGGCTATTTTACTAAAAATAAATAAAAAGGAACCTGGGCCCTAACCCCAGCCGGGCCCAGGAACCTGTATTTTTATTCAAATACCTGGCTACCCTGAGGTAGGCAGCAAATATTCTCGTTTGAAGACAACTCAAGTGCTCTCTCAGAACCTGGTCCCAGGCAGTGTGACACCGCTGCTTTAGAAAGAAGGCTTCCTCTTCCCAGGCCCTGGATGAAGCTTTCTAGACTACTCATGTTTGTTTTTTTTACTTAGATGAAGGTCCCCTTTTTTAATTTTCTTGCCAAAGAGGTTCTATCTTCTTGGTCCCATTGATTTTATGGCTCTTCCACCCACCTCAGTCAACCTGACCTCTCCTCCCCACAGCCCCGTACCTGATGGAAGAAGTCCGGGGCCTGTGCTCTCGGGAATCCATCACCCAGCCCACATGACTCTCCAAGGGTGGGTTGGAGCTGTGTCTTGTCTTCCTTTTCCGAGGCATCTGTAAAGGTCAGTCCAGGAACTTGTTATTTATTGTATTCATACAAATGTGAGGAGCATCAAGCGTTTTGTAGGATTAAGATTCCCCTCATATGTGTGTGTCATCGCACAGTTTACAAATCATTTTCAAATTTATTCTCTCACAATGTCTACAGCTAGGAGCTGATATGCTTATTTCACGAAAGAAGAAGTTGAGGCTTGGGAGCGAAGTAATTTGCCCAAGGACTTGCACCTGGTCAGTCCTCCTTGGGTCTTATCACGGTCCATGGGGCCACCACTCCCATAGAGTTCATTTTGTAGATGTGGTCACTCAGCCCCAGGGTGGACCCACCAGCCTAAGAACACAGAGCAGGTGGGGGATCTGGCACTTTCTTGGTCTAGACAAGGCTGGAGAGAGAAGCAAAGCACTGGGACGCCGTAAAGTGAGTCTAAGACTCCTGGCAGCCAGGCATGAGCACCTCACCTTGGCATCTAGGGTCCGTCCTTCCTTCACCACTGGGTAAAACCGTGACGTCTGGCTTGAATCTTTGAGCTGCGGTGTCCGGGGAGTGCGGGGGGTCCTGGCATTGCGGTAGTTTGGCGACTCTGGGACAGTGGTTGGTAGAGAGCGGGCAATGGTAGAAGGCTCGGGAGCACCAAACAACTTGTTGGCCAGGGCATCAGTGGGAACTGCAGAGGCAGAGCGGGGTCAGCAAGCAGGGATAGGTCGTGACTGTCTAGACCCTCCAACCCAGGCCAGGGACCCCAGTGTCACCCCTCACCTTGTTGGAATCGGGGTGGCCCGGGAGGGACTTCCTGATTGGGATCCACAGGGGGCTCAGGGGTTAGTGTGTCAAACTGCTCCCGGCTGATCATGTTGACTTTCTTGAAGTTCTCGACTTCTTGCTGCAGAGGATACGAGATGGGTGGGGAAAGATGTCAGTAAGAGGACTGCCCTAGCCTGTTTAGGAATCAAGACGTACAGGAAGCTGGAGAGGGCAGCTCCCACGTCCACATACGTGGAATTCTGGTCCCCAGGCTCTCAGCTGCCCCCTCAACCCCAGTTACCTGGGCACAAGTGTGCTAACCCAGAAGGGGCTAGTACTTGCCCAGCCCTATGTGCAAGAAGACAGATCAGTACTACAGCTCCCCAGGAACTCAATGCAGACTCCCCCGAATCTCTTCCTGCTACTCTCCCCTCACCTCCACTAAACATGCTGCTACTCACCACATGGGCTCACCAAAGGCCCACCCACCTCCACATATATCCACTCTGTAAAAACTACAACAGAGGTTTTGATTATTTCCAAGCAGCAATGATTTTAAAAAGATCTATCTGTTTTCCATCTTCCAATTCAAAGTAAGCTCCTTAAAAGGCTTTTAAACTTTTACAACTGCCTAAATACTTAAGAATAAAAACGACAACCTAGTCCTTATTCTAGTTCCCACAAAAGTGTCTAGCTGACTGTTATGACATTAAATATGGATGTTCAGGTGGCACAGTAACCATCCCACACATTAGCAGAGTTTACACAGTGTTTAACATCTCTTTTTGCTGTCAATGTCCCAGTCAGGTGTCAATTATCACCTCCTTTCATATTGAGGATATTGAGGTTCTATGCCCAGGGTCACACAGCTCATTAGCTTTCTTTCCCCCCTTAGTTATTGGCACCCAGGCCCCACCCACACTGCTACGTTCAAACTTACCTTGATCTGGGAGTACTCAGGTTCGAACTTTGAAGCCCACAGGTCCTGCTCATAGTAGTTGAGCCCATCGTTAATGATCTTGGCCAGCTCAGCGCTCATCTTGGCACGGGAGGTGTGGTTGCCTGTGCGGTCCCCCCCTGGGTGCCGGCGCATGTATGGTGGCGTCTGAGTGACAATGAGGATCTTGTTGACATCCCGGTCATCAATTTCATAGTCAGAATCCTCATCAGACCAGGCGGTAAAGGTGTTCTTCCGTCCATCCATCTGCTCCATCTCCTCGTCAAACAGGAAATCCAGTTCCTCTTGCTCATCCTGATCCTTGGACATCAGCTGCTGAGAGGGTAGCTGCTGAGGCACAGAGGTCTGGTGGACTAACCTGGGCTCCTCTGACTTCTACCATGGGAACAAACCAAGGGGAAAGAGTCACCAGGGTGTTGGTCCCTGAACCAAAGAGGGTAGGGGAGTGAGGAGGTAGAAGGAGCAAAAGTCTGTTCCTGGAAAGGGGAACAGCAATTTCAGTCTGAGAGCGAAACACTTCTCTAACAGTGGACTCAATCTGTACTATTCACATATTGCTTTACTATTTCTACAGCAGTCGAATCCCTCCTTCATGTGAAGATGTGGAAGGGAAACTACAGCCCTGAGATATTAAACAAGGGTCCCAAAGTCACTGGCCATCAATGACAGGAGACCTGTGTTCTAGTCCATAGACTCTAACTCTACATCCAGGCTATGAATCTTCCCTCTTCTGAGGGCCTAGGGGGCTTATACAGGTGCAATGAGGAAAAATTCAGGGAAAAGCACTTAAAATGCAGCCCTAGGGATTTAGACAGGGCAAAAACAACAGCAAGCATCAAGAAACTTAGAATACTGCTGCCAGAAGCTGCATGATCTCCTCTGGTAAAGAATGCCACTCAGAACACATGCAGCTAGGATTGTCCTGAAGGGCAGTCACCACTGACAATGGAAACAGCCACATCAACCCCCTGCAGTTACTGGTGACAGCTCATATTATACCTTGAGCCTCCAGCTTGCCTGACAGCCCTTTAGAGCTCAGAGCTCCATGTGATATCCCTCCAAGCACTCCAACCCGGCTCCTAGGACCCAGGGTGAAGGACAGGCCTCACCCACCTTGGGCCGTGCTGGGGAGGGCCGAGGCCTCTTCTTCACTTCAATCCAGTTCTCGGAATCCAGGTCAGGCAGGCTGGCAGACAGGCCCTTGGGCAGTGTCTTTAGGTTGCTGACCTCCTCCGTTTTGGTTGGCACTGGGGTGACTGCACGAGGAGAGCCAGGCGCCGACTCTGAAGGGTGGAAAGGTAAGGTCCTCATCCCTCCAGTCCTCCTCCTGATGACAGCCCTGAGGACTGCCGGCCAGAGGACGAGGGTAAGGGGAGGCACCCATATGCCCGAAGGGTGCATACCTGTCTCCTTCTGGTAGTGCTGGCGGGGCACAAACTCAGGGCAGTTGAGAAGCTGGGAGAAATCAGTTTGGGAATAATCCACTATTGGGGGACCAGGAAGAGGCCATTTCTCGGGCTCCTCCCTCCTGCGGACTTTCTCATCAACAATCTCCACCACCTTGCTGTCTTTTAGGGCCTGCAGGGGAGAAAAAGAGAGAGGATGCAGAGGAAAGACTTGGATAGATGGCTGGGCCCCCACGAGCTCAGGTATGAGTCCAGTGCTGGTAGGTGTATTAAAGCACTGGCCCCATCTCCCATGCCTGGTAGACAAGTGAGATGTTCAAACTCGTAGGAGGCACGAACATGAAAAACACAGCTGCCATTCTACATCCAGTAATCTGCCCCAGAGAAATGCTTGCACAAACAGGTGACAATATGTATAAGGTACACATAAAAAGCCATTCATAACAACATTGTGTGTAATAGGAAAAATGTGGAAACTTCCTAACTTGCCACCATATAGGCAATTTAAATAAATTATGGCTCATTCACTCAAGGGAACACTACTCAGTAAAAACAGCTTCACATGTGCTGAGGTGGAAAGAGCCACAAAAAAACAGGTCTAGGTCACTGAGTAAAAGATCCACTGGTGCTTAAGTAAAAACATACAAATACAAATTTTTCTAGGATTCATAGGTCAACTTTTACAGGTGTTTGTCTCTAGGAAAAATGGTCAAGAGTAGAGAGGGGAAGAGTTTTCTTTTAAAAATCTTTTAAATGGGTGAGGAAAACATTTCAACATGTCACAACATCCTCTGTTGCTGAGGTTAGGGAAAGAGACACTCTCACATATGGCTGATGAGAATGCAAAAGGCCCAACCCCTGGAAAGAGAATTAGGCAATAGCTAGCAAAATTACATATGCATTTGCCCTTGCGTACAGCCATTCTTCTAGAAATGTATACCAAAGACACACTGGCAAAATTATGAAAAGATACATATCCAACTATAAAAAGGATAGGGGAGTATCTTTCTTTTTATTCTATAACACTATGCTCTTAGATATAGTAAGTAAAAACATAAAACAAGTAGAGAAATACATGTGTTAGATGTTACCACTCATCTGAGAAAGAGGAATGAGACAAATACATATGGAAGCATGTGCTTATTTTTTAATAGAAGGATTCAAACAGGTTACCTACAGGGTAACAAATGAAGATGGACCACAGAATTAGACTATCAGCATTTTGCAATCCCCAGTGAAATAACAGGCAATGATGATCATTAGAAACTTCTAATGATCACAAGAGGGAAAATCAAATTATCTCTACATTTAAATTCTCGATTGACAAGGGGGGACGACCCAAACCTGAATCTGATCAGGCCTCTAGATCACCAATTTACAAAAAATTTGGAGTATAAAACATGTTAAATGACTACAGTGTCCTATAAGATATACAACCCATTTTATTCAAATAATAAATTACAAGGAAAAACAGGGGGGAGGGGAAACTTAAGAGAACACATGGGGTCTCATAAACTACTAAAAGGAAAAAATTAATCCTCACCCAAGGATATCTTTTCCATTGATTTTTAGAGAGAGTGGAAGGGAGGGAGAGAGGGAGGGAGAGAAACATAAATTTGAGACAGATACATCAATTGGTTGTCTCCTGCAAGAGCCCGGGTGGGTGGGAGGGAGGGGGGGTGATTGAATCTGCAACCAAGGTACATGCTCTTAACCAGCAATCACACCTGAGTCCCTTTGTGCTTTAGCTGACGTTCTAACCATTGAACAACGCCAACTAAAGCAAGAAATTTTTTTTATCTAGTGGAGCAGATTTGCAACTGACCAAGTATTTGATGATCTTAAGGAATTTTAATGCTTTTACATGGGATGATACCGTGGTCTTTATCTTTTAGAGACAGGTACTGAAACATGGATGAAATGTCAGGTTACCTAATACGTTCTTCAAAGTAATCTGGGAGAGGAAACAAATTGGGGGGTTGAGGGAGTAAGACTGGCTATGAGTTGCAAATTGCTGAGGCTGGGTGATGTGGGTTCATCATACCATCGTACACTTTTGAACCTGTTAGAAAATTCCCATAATAAAAGGGGGATGGAGGGAAGGCAGAGGCAAGGAGAGAAGCTGGGTAAGCCTTGGAACTTTAGCAGAAGTAATCAAATGGGGGTTCGTCCAAGGTTTCCTGTCTTGGCCCAAACTCCAGCTTTGCAAGTCAGGATTATCTCCACCCCCCCGCCCCCCTCACACACACACACACCTTAGCCCCAGAAGACATACCGAAAAGATGAGTGAAATGTCAGTGGTAAGGGCCTGAACTCGGTGGAAGGAAGCAATAAGAGTGATGGGAAGGAAACCGTCAGCATCCATTTTCCGTCGCAGGAAGAAGTCGCGCTCTAAATTGTCCACGCTGAAGTAGTATTCACTAGGTGGAGGGAGAACAGGAATGATTGCTGCATTGTTGACAAATATGCCTTTCCTGTCCTGCTGCACACCCAGCGACCTCATGCAGCCTGACTTCCCTCTGGGACCCTAGTGTACATACAACGGTCTTACGAACTGAAAGAAATGTTGTTATCCTCTCCTGGCTCCCTAACCTTCCGCCAAACCATTCCTTCTGTCCTTCAGTCCCTTTGCATGCCTGGCAAACTCCCTTCTTCTCTGCTCCTGAAATACCTATCACATTCTATGTGCCATGATCTATTTCCTTGTATGGCTCCCTCACTAAACTAAGAGACAATACACTGCAGTGGCCAGGAGCAAAGGTTTTACAATCAGACAGAAATGGATTCAACTATGTGTCTTGTCACTTACTTAACTGAGACACTGGGCAAGGTACTGGGACTGTTTGCTCATCTATAAAATGGGGATAAAACCAGCTCAGAGGAATTAAGTTGACAATTGCAGGTTTAAATAAGAGAATGCCTGTCAAGCACTTAGCCTCACCGATAGTGAGGACTTAATAAATGTTTGCTAGCATTCCGGCAGTACAGCCATTACAAAAGGATAGAGAAAGTAGTCTCAACATTTCTCTATTTGGTTAGTGGCCATTTGTAATTTTCTTAAGGTAAATATGGTACCACTCCTGTACTAAACAGTAACTTTATGAACAATTAGCTTAAGAGATGAGAGAAAATTATCTTTCTTAGCTCCAGCCAGGGCAGCAACGGAAGGAAGGGCCTGTCCAGTCCTACTCTGCCCAGCTGCCAAACTCAGGCAGCCCCCAAACCCTCCCCATCTCATCTCTCCAGAAAGAAGGCTCCATCCACTCACATCTGGCGCTTGATGTAGTCCTTGAGCAGCTCCTGGTCCACACTGTACAGCTCAGTGCTGCTGACATTGTCAAAGTAGTAGGTGATGTTGTTCATATACTTCGGGGTTCGAGGACCCTCTGCACCATCAAACTTTCGGTAGCTGAACTGGTAGTCAAAATGGGCTATAGGGAAAATTGGTGCCATAAGGGATAGGCAATCCCAGCCAACCGCCCCTGCCACAATCCCTGGGACATCCCGGAGCCCAAAGGGGCCTCACGTACTTCGAACGCCACCCCGGCCACGTCCGCGGCCACGACCACGCCCCCGTCCACGGCCGCGGAAGGAAGCCCGTGCCCCACCAGCCCCATCACTCTTCACACTCGATGTCTCATCCTGGTCGGGCCAGGCAGGCTCCGGTTTGGTCTCTGGTTGCCAGGCTGAGGTGGGGGGGGCCACAGGCACAGACACGTAGGTGGCAGGCTCAGACCCTGTAAAGAGAGAGGGCTTTGGGTCAGGCCTGAAGGTGACCACCAAGACCAGGCCCTCCATAGTAAGTGACACATACCTTTGATCTCCCCACGGTTGGCAGGTGTGTGTCGTGGCTCTGGTGGGCGAGCAGGGCGCGAGACCAGTTTCTCTCTCGACACTTCAGGCTTCATGTCTATTTGCAAGGGGACCCACTTGTGTTTGTTCCCTGGAAGACGGCACAGGCACAGGAGAAGGGCTTGGAGGAGGTCCCTCCCAGCTATCCTTACCCCCAACTTTCTTCCCCTGTCCAGGGCTTCAGGCCTGAATCACAATCTGGTGACCTTGGGCAAATTCCTTTCCCATGCTGGACCTCACTTTGATGGACACTCCTGGGTGACTCTCAACATCGATTTCTCCATGGTTCGAGAAACCCCCTTCTGGAGCCAGACACATGGTTGCCCAGAATCAAGACTGCACTTTCCAGGCTTCCTTTACACTTGTGCCAAAGTTCTGGCTAGGAGAGCTCAGTAAAAGTAGTCAATTCCAGGTTGAGTCCCTAAAAGGGAGACACTTTTCCCGTTCCCCTTCCTGCTAGCTGGAGAGGGTAATAGTGAACCGTCCTGAGAAGTGCCAACACACCACAGCAAGATAAAAAGGAATTGGAGTTGCCATTCTGGGCCTGGCCTACTTACACTGAGGTGTCAGGTGAAAGAAACTTTCGTCTTGTTTAATCACTGTTACTTTGAATCTCTATTAGAGCAGCCGAACTTATGCCCTAACTTTAGTTTCAGCCAGAGCAAAGGAAATCTTTCACGGGACAGCAACACACTAAGACACACAAGGAATACTGAGGCAGGGGCCTCACCTGTCTTGTGCACTGCTAGAGCCCCACTGCTCAGAAGAGGGCTTACCAAATGCTTGTTTAATAAGAGAAGGATCTGACGGACCGATGACTGAAGTGAAGACTGCTGGCCCAGAAGCCTATACCAGCCAGCCTCCTAAGGACTCCTTGGGCCCCTGAAATTCCGCTGCCACTTCAAAGTGCTGCCCTGCCACCTTCTCCCAAGCCCCAATCCAAGTCACTCACCTTTCTTCTTCTGACCCCCTCGCTGGCAGTCCTCATCCCCATTCTTCTCCTCCCCTGATTCATCCGATTTGGTTTTTGGGCTCTCCTTACTATCGCTCCCTTCTCCTTTCTCCTGTTCCTTCATGTCCTTTTTGGGTGGCAGCTTACGGGCAGGCTGAGACTTGTGGGACTGTGGCTACAGCAGGAAATAAAGTAACCGGGAGGTGTGGTGAGTCTGCAAGTCTCTTAGGATGGATGGAAGGGAACCCCATCACTAGAAAGACAGGGCAGAAGTAGCTGGAGCATGCGATGGCAGGTTGGGCTGGATGCATTCTAAAGGTCCTGTTTTCACGCCTGATGCTTTTATTGGGAAGCGTGGTCAAACAGGCAGGAGGTGGGAGACAACCTGTCTCTCTGGCTTCTTCAAGTCTAAGCGAAAGAGAACCTCTAGGACAAAGGGGCTGGGACTCACAGAAGCCAAATGTTTATTTACTCCCTGCAACAGGACCACATCCAGGTAGTTTGTGGGATGGAGGAGATGCTGGCCCTCGGCCTGTTAATACTAACCCTGTCTGCAAACTGAAGGCCAGCGGCCACCATCAGGGAGGGACCTAGACCGTCAGCCTAGAATGAAAGCCAGGGAAGGAGAGGACTGACCAGGAGCCCCTCCTCTGCTGAGACTAAAGAGAGCTATAAAGGTCCCCTAGAGGTGAATACCTGGTCAATGTCCAACCACTCTCTGGCAACCCAAGTGTGATGGAGAACACAGGTTCTGGAATAATGCACCACACCTCACTTCCAATTCATGCTTGGCCATCAAAGGGTACCAATTAACCTCTCCCAGCCTTAATGGTCTCATCTAGAACACGGGAATGATTAAAGCACGTACTTTGGAGTCACCGTGAGGGTTAGTTGAATGATGAATAGACAGCAGTTGGCAGTCCATAATACACAGCCAGGGCTTAAATGATGACTCTTGGATAGCTCAGTGTTGCCCAAATTGTACCAACCATTCCTCTTAAGATAAGACCTGAAGCTCTGAGAGCTTGAAAAGCCAAATGTGTAAATGTAGACAGAGCTCCATCCTACCCATCCCTTTCCTCAGACTCACCTGCACACTCTTGTGGGCTATCTCTCCAGGTGTGGGCCAGTTGATTGCATCTCCAAAGTCACCAACCTGCAAGGCACATTCTATGAAGGCTCTGGGATGACCCTGCCTCTGCCATTTCAACCTCTCGCCCAAGACACAGCTCCATCCAGAGATCAGAGGCCAAATAAGTCTTTCCACTAGGACCATCAACACTGGAGGCCCAGAAAGGGTTCCCCTGCGATTTAGAGAGAATCCTGAACTACCTGGCAGCTCAGAAGCACTCAACTAGAACAGGGTAGAGGCCACCCCAGCGCCCCACCTCCCACCCCCAGGAAGTCTCCTTGGGTTGCCTACTCCTATTCCTTACCTTGCTGCCTTTGCGCTGTTTAGGAACTGCTGCCCTCACCACCTTTGCCGGAGCAGAATGTTCTGTGGGAACCAGAAGGGAGAAATGGTTATGCAGAGCCTATGGGAGAGGGCCACCACCAGCTTCTCACTCCCACTCCACCAAGCAACCTGTAGGCTCCCAAAGGAGGAAGACATGATAGAGAGTTAAAAGACGCGTACCCTAACAATTTTACCAGCCTTTCTGAAGAAATCATGGAAAGTGAGCTCATAAGGACAATCAGCAGCCAAGACCTCAGGAACTTGACTCTTGAAGTGGGAAGGCTCTCACAGCCCTATACCTCTTAACATTCTAGAAATCTGTGTGTGAGCAGATCAGGGCTAGTAATCACGAGAAGGCGAGATAAAAATCCTAACTGGGCAATCAAGAAGTCCAGGGACCTCTTTCTCAGCCCTCACATACCAGGGCCAGAACTCGGTCCTTGATGAGCTCTAGCCAAATAGGAGAGTTAACCATTCAGGAAAAATTCTATCTGCCTTCCAAGTTCCCAAAGAAAAAGTGAAACCCCATTTGACTTAATCGTTCTACCTTTAGGAATTTATCCTAATAATTCAAATTAGACAAGTGTTTAGAGTTATGTACAAAGATGTCCTCCACAGTGCTGTTTATAACTGCAAACCGCTGAAAACAAACTACATGTCTGACAGTAGGAAACTGGCTCAATTAAAGTTTAACAACTTTTATAGGCATTAGGAAGACAATGATTTCTACTGATATGAAGAGATAAATGATAAATGAGAAGAGTTACAATCCTATTTTGGTAAAACAAAAAATGTGCACATGCACACATACATAGCAGAAACTCTGGAAGGACATATAAGTAGTTACAGAGTTAAGTAGTATGTTTAGTGATTTATTTTTGTTTGGCATTCTCCAGCAGTTTCAAAAAAGACAGACATGAGCTTTTAAAAATAAAGTGTGTGTGTGTGTGTGTGTGTTAAGGAAGTGGCCCTGGTCCCTTCTACTCCTACACTTGTTTTCTCAACACAGTTCTGAAGGGTTTCTAAACCCTTCCTCCCCCAGACAGACCCACGGGACTGCTCACCCACTTCTCTCCTATCACTCTGTCTCCACTGTTGGCTAGCCATGCCAGGGCAAGAACTGTCCCCAGTCTCTGAGCAAAGAAATTTGCAAGGCTGGTCTCAAAAGGAATGTTCTACTCCTTGTTCAGACCTATGTTCCCTTTATTAGTAGAGAGAGTGCTTCCCTGACTCTAACTGTGAAGTCACTGCATTCTTGGCTTCTACTCCATACCAGAGCCACTGGCCCCTCAAGACACCCCACACACCTCTGAGACATGAAGCCATGAAACCCAGGCCCACAGCATCCCTCTGCCCCAGTGCTGGGAATAGAGAGCCAGAAATCTCAGTGCCTGTAGGATGGAACTCTTAGGCCCAGAAAGCTCCTTACTCCACACTGATTTCCTTACTAATCATGGGTTGATCCAGAGAAGCCTAATACCATCCAGTGCCTTGACTATGCTGTTGCGAACCAGGACCCTGGCAGAGGCAGCCATTTCATTACAGGATCATTACACCTGAGCCATGGTGGTACTCCCTCCTCCTGGCCCCAATACCCCTTGCATGCTACCAGGAGGAAAAACAAGGGCTTGCAACATCAGGTTCATTAACAAGTTGAAAGAGGGAATCAGGTTCAGTGGATGCGTTATTCCTGAAGACTTTCTGGGGAAAGGCAAGGCAAAGTTTTTCAGGTCATTGTCCGTTTCTTCTAATAAAAACTCTTTCAAAATTGAGCAGTCAGATCCTATGATCACCCTGCCTGCTATTTTGTTCACCAAGATCACAAAGGGACATGGTAAAATAGTGAAAGTTCAATCTCCAGTTAAGGGGAGAGCCCTTCTGCCACTGAAAAACCCTACTGATTCCCTACTCCCCCACCAATCCCAAGCTGACCAAGGGAATGTGGTTAGTGTGGGCATACACGGAATATTCTTCAATTTGTCTTGTGTGAAGTTTGCTGAAAATGCTCCATCCCTAGCTAATGTCCCTCTGTCCCAAAACCCACAGTGGCCTGCTCTTGTACTGCTCCCAACTAGCTCTCAAGCTGCCCTGCCCCCAGGAGGAACTAAGTTCCATAAGAGACCAAAAAAAGCACACTATGGAGAGAGAACTACTTCTGCCTTTAAACACTATTCCTAGATCTGTTCAAATCCTGTGGGGCCTAGGGAAACCCAGAAAGGCTCAGATGAGCTGTTGTCCAGCCCTGCGGGAAGATGGAAAAAAGATTAGGCTTACTGACTTCAATGACACATCCCTTTCAGAGTCGCCTCCCAGCCACCTACCTACCTTTATCAGGCAAACACACATGCGTCCCCAATGGGGCCTGGAATCTGAAAACCAATTCTTTGCACATGCACCAGCCCCTCCCTCCCACCTCTGAATTCTGAAACTTGCACAGCCGCCCTGACCCAGTCAGTGCTCAGGAAACACTAAAGTCACCTCCCTGTGCCTGCCTAAAAAACAGTTGTAAAATGTTCGAGCAGCAAAAAGGACCATAGTTCTAATGCCCTCTGTTTCTAATGCAGATAGGGAACTGAGGTCCCCAAAAGGGAAGGGGCTTCCCCAGGAAGAGCCAGGATGGGAGATGAAGTCTCAACTCGAAGTCAACCCCCTTTGTCCAGTGCTCCTTCAATTCACCAGAAATCCTGTGTGTCCACTGGTGGGAGAAAGGATCCCAAACCTTCCTGGTGCAATGTTAGGGCACTATCCTGGTATTCCCTGGCAAACAGGGCTACTGAGGGTAGGGAGAGGTTCTCAGTTAGCGAGGGAGAAGTGTGGTGAGGTGGGCCTTACATGGGGACTCCATTCTACATGGGGAGGAAGCTGAAGACAGAGGCCATCAGAGTGTCTTCCTCCTTGACTAAGTTAGTCAGGAGCTAATGAATACCTGGAAAAGGACAAAAGCTGCTTTCTGTCCCATAGGCCCATATCAGCCAGGAGCCAGCATGACTCCAGTTCCGTGGTCGGCAAACTGCGGCTCGCGAGCCACATGCGGCTCTTTGGCCCCTTGAGTGTGGCTCTTCCACAAAATACCATGTGCGGGCATGCGTACAGTGCGACTGAAACTTCGTGGCCCATGCGCAGAAGTCGGTTTTCGACGTGGGCGAGTCTATTTTGAAGTACTGTTGATATTTGGCTCGGTTGACTAATGAGTTTGCCGACCACTGCTCTAGTTCCAGGGGGTCCAAGGGCTTCCTGAATCCTCACATAGTCTGGCCGAGGAGGGGGAGTTGGGGGAGGGGAGTGGCACCAGCAGACTTTTGACAATCCTGTATCTGCACAGCCGAGTCACTATTTTTACCTAATATTATTGAGAGTGGTGAGAAGAGGGGAGCTAACCACTGAAGCTAATGCAGGATGACAGGAAACGAGAGGGTAGGTGGGAGATGCGGCTGGGCAGAGAGGGGTTAATGAGAGAGGTGGTGGGAGCGGGGGGGAGGGGAGTGGCACCAGCAGACTTTTGACAATCCTGTATCTGCACAGCCGAGTCACTATTTTTACCTAATATTATTGAGAGTGGTGAGAAGAGGGGAGCTAACCACTGAAGCTAATGCAGGATGACAGGAAACGAGAGGGTAGGTGGGAGATGCGGCTGGGCAGAGAGGGGTTAATGAGAGAGGTGGTGGGAGCGGAGGGCAGCTTCCCAGCAAAGTGGGGTAGCTGACCACGAACCACTGAGATTCTGCCTTTCTACACCTCAACTTTCAAGTCTGTGACACCCCATTATTCAAAAACTGATCAGGAAAGTAGGACAGCCAGTCCTTTAGCACACAGACTTTGTTATGTGATGCACTTGGGTCAAAATTCCTGCATACTCTGCCCCTTGCAACTCCAGTTTCCTCTTCTGTAAAACTGGAGTCTTAATTATCTCATAGGGCCACTGTGACAGTTAAATGAGCAGAGCACAGTAAGAGTGCCCAGCACACAGCAAATGCTAAAAATACAGCTGACTCTTAAACCCCTGTGCAGTAGAAAATCCACGTGACTTCTGACTTCCCCAAAACTTAGCTGTCCCTAGTGTCCACAGGGGATTGGTTCTAGAACCTACACCCCGACCCCGCATCACCCACAGATAAAATCCATGGCTGCTCAAGTCCCCTATATAAAACTAGAGGCCCGATGCACAAAATTAGTGCAAGAGTAGGCCTTCCTTCCCCCAGCTGCCGGCACCGGCTTCCCTCTGGCACCCAGGACCCAGGCTTCCCTCGCAGCCCTGGCTTTGTCTGGAAGGTCATCTGGAAGGATGTCCAGTCTAATTAGCATATCAAGCCTTTATTATTATAGATGGCATAGATCAATGCATATAGTTGGCCCTCTGCATCTGCAGGTCAAAACAGTACAGGTATTTATTGAAAAATAAAAAAAAAAATCCATGTCTAAGTAGACCCATGCAGTTCAAACCTATGTTGTTCAAGGGTCAAATGTAAATGCTAATTAAAATTTAAATGCACAAAGGAAGTTTAATATTTTCAAGCCATCCCTATCCTCATCAGTAAAGAAACCATAAAATAATCAACATGAAAAGAATCAGAGCATGTGTGAAAAAACTCTTGGCTCAATTCACTGATTCAGATTACAAATGAGCCCCCTCCCAAACCTGGCTCTTCTTCCAGATACTGTCCTCCAGACACAGGCTGGGCTCCAGGGCAGATTTCCCCAGGAAAGAGGGAAGAAATAAGGGGAAAGTACCACAAGTCCCCAGGGAGGCTTTGGCAGAAACCTCTGCCATGCTAGAGAGGAAGGAAGAGCATAGGGAAGGCCTAGAGTTCCGTTTCAGTTGAAATATAGTCACTCAATTTTTTACTCAGCACAGAAGAGGAATAGAGAGCCTCAAATAGTCTCTTTCAGTCTACAACGGGGCTAAACCCATTAACACCTGTTACAAAGCCAGATAGAAAGACAAAATGTCTCCTACATTGCCTTGTTCCAGAAAGATCCTTAAAGCTGACCTTTTGAAATAAAAACTACCCAGAGGGGCCAGATCTAGGAAGTTTCCTAAGGAG